TCAACAAGAAACCGACGAATGCGAGCAAGTCTTTCGGCGTTTAACGGTGGCGTTTTGATCCTGCCTCCACGACGCTTGTAGCCGAGCCTACTCAGCAGCCCTCCTGCCGAACGGTGGGACGGCTGCTCCATGTTGCAAGTCCTGTGCATCCATTCTGCCACCGTGCGGCGAAAGACTTGACGACCGGCNCGGTGAGGCGGCGTCGCCCATCATCCTTCTTTGCCGTCTTGCCTCTCCCCACGGCGGTGGTCTCGTACAACTGGCGGTGATCCCACCAGTGGTTGTTGATGCGTCTGACCTTGTCGTGGCCGATCTTGAAAGTGCGCGCAACCTGCCAGCATAGAGAGGTCCAGAGAAGAGAAAATATTGCAACATCGTTTATGAATAAGGTCAGTTCACTTGGACATTGCACAGAGAGACATCGCACATGCAAGCCTGCTCAGGTGCTGTAAAAAACTGCTGTAAAGAACTGCTCTACAACAGCACAATGTATTCCTGCTGAATATTTGTGTGACGTAGACAGGTGAGTCAACCGTGTAACGAACGGCAAAGGCTCGCGCCCGACATAAATGCAACGAAAACACACACACCACACATGAACATACTGCTGTTGGCAGCAAAAATAGGGTGTAGACTACAGCACATATTCCGGAGTATTGATTCAAAAACCAACCGTTACCCCTCTTTGATCAAGATGAATATTTAAAGAAGACATCGGCCTGCTGCTGTGTTACGGTTACATGGTTACGGTTGATAGGAGTTGCACCTTGGGAGAATGCGTTGTTCCCAACAGGTACTAGCAGTAAGGTCCGGTTTGCCGGGCCCCGTCTTGAGGCTAGGATTGCTCAGCCTCCCTGCTTCACTACTTCTCCTTGCTTGCCCTGAGTTAGCAATAATCAACAAGCGAATACCGTATCCACGACCGGAGACCTTCCACTCCTTGTCACAAGCCACCTACGAGGCTCACTTCTACCGCTGTTCCGGCTCATCTACCGAACTCGGTACCGATCGAGAGGCAGCTACCATCAGGTCGGTAGCAGTGCTTGTAGTCCGGGGTCCCATCCATGTACAATCCGCTGTGGACAATTCCTCTTGACACCTAGGGTCCTGCCACTTGAATGATTAGAGACCACACAGACCCACACAGACATTGGACCAGCCCCTACCCCTAGCCTCTCCATCCGTTTTATGGTGTCCTTCCGTGTCCTTGCTGTAGACGAGCCGTGGATGCACTCGTCATGCTGTAGCCGTGTGGCTTGTAGGCCCTTTCGCGTCCCTGTCGTTTTTTTCCTTTCCCTGCTCGCTTGCACGTTTTGGCGCGTTTTCCTTTCTTTCCCATCATGCGCACGCTCACCCTACAGCGGCTTGTGGCTTGTTTCAGTCAGGCGTGCACACACCCTCTGCTTGTGCCTTGTCATCCTCTGCGCTGCAGCCGTTCTCCGAGCGCGCATACTAGAGTACTCGTGAATCCTGTGTTTCGTTTTTTGGTGGACGCGCATTTAACACTGCTGTTCATAGCTGCCATGTGTATGCGTCCATGCGATTCTGCATACTTGTGTAGGGGAAGGTAAAGGGCGTGGTTTTCTTGTATTTTTTCCTCTGCCCGTTGGCGCCACCGCAATAGCTGTTTCTGTACCCGCGTGGATAGCTTGTTGCCACCGGACAGCTGAACTACCAGGTTGATAGGATCGAGTGAACACTGATGGGTCGTGTCTCACGCACTTGCGGCCCCACAGCAGCACACACCCCGTGCGGCAGCCAGAAACGATGATGGTGTGAAAAAGTGCGTAAGGCCGATAACTCCGGGTCGACCTGCGCGCTTGTGTTGAACCTTGTGCTTGTTTGGGATCATCCTCGTGACCTCTCCTCCCTGGTAAAGTCTCACATTCGGCAGTAACCTGTTGACCACTGTGGTTTCAGAACGCTATTTTGGTGGGGTTGGGCCTCTCCTAGGTTGCCCCTCCTTCCCACCCTACTTTCTGGTACCGCGGCGTCTGACGCTCGATCGTATCTCGATTAAAGCCGTCCTGATTGCCGCACGCCTGCGGATGCTATTCATGTGTAGCTATTTTCTTTCGCTGGTTGGATACTTGTGCCGTACAAAGCATGGGGCACTCGTTCCCATATGTGTTATACATCTTATTTTACTATACAAGGCATATAAAGATTAATTTAATTTTTTTCTCCACGAACGTAAACATCAAGTAACATCTTTTTTTCTGCTGCTCGAGGTGTGCTGCTATCATCTTAGTATTAGGTGGTTGAATTGATTTTTTTTTGTATGCATGGCCCTAATTTCTTTTTAATTAAGTTCTAAGGTCTGGTTAGCCCTTTCCGTTTGTACTATCCTACAGCAGTATTGATTTCAAATACATTACTTCAAAATCTTTTTCTTTGGCATTCGAATTGTACGCCACGTGACATTCGCTTATGCTGTACGCAAGCGCTCACCCAGCTAGTTGAACCCGTTTTTCGTGCGGCATTTCCATATTTTTTTTTATTGTATATAGAAACACTTTTCCCCGTTTGAGGTCATTGCAACTGCTGTTCGCTTGTATTTTCTTGCCGTGCATGCCCGTATCGTACGTTAGCCCGCGCTTAGCTGTCCTTGCATCGAATCTACTCCGTTCACATTGTCATTCTCACACGACTCGCTCTCCGTCTGTCTCGCACTAGCAGCGATGTCCTCTTCTAACCATCAGGTGTTGTCGAGGGGTGCCGTCGGCTCCGTCGATATGGACAACTCGTCCCCGGTGCGTCGCCAAGGTGCTGGGGAGAGGCGGTTGCCGTTGCCCGGCTCCCTCGCCGACTATGGCGGATCGCGCGCCGCCCGGCGGGACGGCAGCCTGCACCGGAACCGCAGCTGGAACCGGAGTCCCAGCGAGGAGGCCGAGGCCCCCGCTCTCGGCGAGAACAGCCGCAGGGCAGCCGAGCAGCCCGGTGACCGGCAGGATGGTCACCGCCGTCAGCGGGGCCGCTCACGGAGCCGTAGGACGCGTGCTCGTGCCCAGGACGAATCTGCCGCGGGTGGAAGCATCGACGACAAGGGTGGAGCCCCTCGTGGCGGCTCCCAACGATCGAGTCGTCGCAAGAGCTCCAGGCGTCCCACGAGTTCGAGTAGCCACAAGGGCTCTCGTAGCGTGCGCTCTCGTAGCCACAAGCTTAAACGTTCTCGCCCTCGCAGCCCTTCGCCTTCACCTAGCGACAGTAGTAATGGCAGTGGTAGCACCAGCAGCGACAGCGACTGCCTCCCCGAGAGAGCTAACCGCCACAAGGGCTCCCGTAGCGAGAGCCCACGTAGCCGCAAGCACAAACGTTCTCGCCCGCGCAGCCCTTTGCCTCCGCCTAGCGATAGTAGCAGCGGCAGTGGTAGCAGCAGCAGCGACAGTGATTGTGACATTGATCCTGAACCACCCCGCCCGGCCCCCCGCGACCGCCGTCCCCTCTCTCGTTCCATTTCCCCTGCCTACGTCCACCGCCCACGCAAGCAGTCTCGCCGCCGTAGCCACACACTGGCTCCGAGCAGCTACGGGGGCGCGGTCCCGTCCTACGAGGGAGGGCCGGCAGTCAGAGACCCACGCGCTCTGAGGTGGGCCGACTCTGGTCGAGGTAAGCGCAGTCTCGATTCCAACCAGGCAGCTAAGCTGATTGATCGCATGCGTAAGAGGATCGCAGGAGACAAGCCGTGTCCAGTCTACGGCGGCCCTTCTTCCGGCCCTCTTACCATCGCCAACTCCGCTGTCATGCTGCAGGATAAGGTTATGAGTGTGCTTCGCAACGTCGAGTCGGGTAAAATGCGTTTGGAACCAGACGTGTACGTTGACGGGCGTTACGTTACTTTCGCCGATGAATTCACCCCTCGTCGCGTAGAGCTTATCTCCGATCTCGTCCAGGACTACTTGTCAGTTAGCCAACAAATCGCCAATTCTGACCATGTCCATGTGTACCTCATTACTGGCGAAGTCATCACGAAGCCTCATCGCGAGGTCACAGCCACCGATTGGTTGCGTCTGTATGTACGGGAACACGCGTTGACTGGGGGTGCGGCAGAGCTAGCTCGTTCGGCTTTCTCGGCGTTGACGTTGACTCCGGGGGAAGGGTGGTCTGCAGCGGCCGCCCGTGTACTTTCAGTATTCCGCGCGACGCGTGCCGATCCCGAGCGACCGTACATGACCGAGCAGGCTTTGTTTTGGCGTTTCGCGACCCCGGTAGCGCTAATCGAACTTTACGACCGGGTTGTCGAGGTCTTGCTTCCTAACCCATTCGACCGAAACGGAGTATCCGCGATCTTACACGAGACAGCGTACGAGACAACTTCCTCTCTCGGTCCTTTGCGTATGGAGTGGCACGACCCCTTGGGGGAAGCGATGGCACGACGGGGTGTGACAGCAGAAAAATTGTTTCGCAAGTTCGTTGGCGTGCTATCAGCGCGCAATGCGTCGTACATCACGCCGCCGCCGCGTAAACATGTAAAGGTAGCGGGTCCCGACCGTCTTTTTACGATGGCGGAGGCACGGTCGCTGTTCGCTAACTCGGGGACCGGCGCGCCCTCGGCGTTGCCACCCCCCGTGCTGACTCAACCTTTCTCTGCTCTAGCGCCTGCCCCCGTACCAGCGCCGCCCGTAGCACCACAGGTCGCGGCGTATCAGAACCGGACCGCCACGGCTCCCGGAGGCCATGGCGTGCCGTTTGAAGCCCGTTCGTCAGCGCACCGGCCGGCCCCGGTCCCCCTGCACCGGCCGCGGGTGCCGCATCAGACCCTGCTCTGACCACCTCCACGCCGAGCGACACCCGACCGCCACCGTCCGCGTCGCGGACCGAGATCATCGACTACTTGCGCTCGCACGACGTGTGCTACCGCCATGCCTTCTCGGGCACCTGCCGGCGCTCCCCGTGCAGGTGGAACCATGCGCTGGTCCCACCGGCCCTGTACAAGGAGGTCTCGTCGCGGCAAGGAGCTGGCCGAGGCAAGCATCGCGTAGCGTCGCTATCACCGGGACAATACAGCTTGATGTGCGAGTTCGGGATCTTGTCGGAGGGAAGCGACGACGACCAGGCCGAAAGGGGCGCCGCTTCAGCAGCGTCCACTGGCTCTTCCTGAAGGTGCGCCCCAGGCGATGCGGACGCAAGCCTGGGGGACCCGTTGGCGGCGGTGGACCCCTCGTCGGGTGAGGAACAGAACAGCAGAGACCAGTTGTGGGTAGCAGGGCAGATTTGGCATCGGCATCGGCGCCGTAGACCGCGTAAGTTTGAGATTCTGCTAGACACCGGTGCAGGAGGCGGTAGCTACATATCCCTTTCCTTATGGCGTGGGCTCAAGCGACTCATTCGACGACGTGTTGACGAGAGTAGGGCAGGGGCTCTCGAAGCTGCTAATCCTCGTGACAGTGATACTCCTCCGATGCGTATTCTGGGATCCGTAGCACTGCCAGTGTTGTTCGACGGCGATTCGCGAGTGAGGGACGTAGAGGTACGCGTGGTAGACGGGTTGCCTTACGGATTCATCGTGGGAGCAGACTTCTTTAGGCGGAATGCTAGCGTGCTTGATTTCAGCTCCAGCAGAGGCTTTAGGCCTGTACCAGCAGCGCCCTGGGTGCCTTTTCTGTCGACGACACCATACGCCTCCCACGCCGCAACCCCACTCCGCAACGCTCGGGACCAGTTTAGTCTACTGACGGCTACCCCCGAGAACGCCCCCGAAGTGCCCGCCGTTCCCACAGATATGCCCAGCTACGAGGATGTGGTGTGGGAGGACGACACCTCCTTCGAGTGGGACGTGCGACAAGTGCCGGAGACCACCGTCGTCGAGGGTTTCACCACCCGCGCGGTGGAAGCTGCGGCTGTGGGGCCACAACCGCAGGACAGGCAGCTAGTGATGGTCTTGCCAACCGAGCGGTTTGATCTAGAGCAGGGAGCTGTAGTCGGTGTAGCTCGTGCGGTAATGTGGTGGGTCCCGGGGTCGCCTGTCTACTGCAAGTTGGTGAACTGTAGTAAGGAGAAGGCGGCAGTCGAGGGCAGCCGGGTGATAGCTCGCATGATTGCACTCAATGTTCGCGACAAGCCGGCTTTCGATTCGCTGTTTGACATCGCCCCCTCCGCTGCCGACCAACCCCTGCCTCCCCGTGGACCGCGCGCCCCGAGCCCGTCCCCACCTAATGGGGCATCCGTGCCGCGTGTTCGCGTAGAGGACGCCAACCTGGGGACGCTGGGGTCGCTCAAGAAGCATCAACTCGTCAACGTTCTCGCAGCGTTCATCGAGGACGGCCTGTTTCCGATCGACCCGAAACGAGTGCCGGCCTGCATGAACGGTGAGCTTGAGCTTCCTCTGATCAACGAGTTTTGCACACCTTTCGCAGCCAAGCAACGGCGTTTTTCTCCGGAAGAACGACGCATGATCAGGGCAGAGATTCAGCAGTTGGTAGACCGAGGAGTGATCCGTCAATCCATGTCTCCTTGGGCTGCCCAGTGCTTGTGCGTCAAGAAGAAGGATGGTACGCTGCGACTGTGCATCGACTGGCGTGAACTCAACAAACTCTTGGTCTCCGATAGTGGGGGTTTGGGTGACATGCAGACGATATTCGACGGGTTGAAGGGCAAGAAGTATTTCACTCAGCTAGACCTCGCCTCCGGTTTTCACCAGATGGAAATTGCCGAGAAAGACCGTTACAAGACGGCCTTTCGAGATGCGGATGGAATGCTTTGGGAATTTACGCGCGCGGGTTTCGGCCTGACGGTGCTTCCGGCGGCCTTTACTCGTAGAGTGAAATCGGCTCTGGGGCATCTAGCAGGCGTGTTTAGCTGGCTTGACGACATTCTCATCGCTAGCGACTCATGGGAAGAACATCTCGCCACTCTGACGCTCGTTCTGAACCGCCTTCTGGCTGCGGGGCTGTCAGTAAACTTCGCAAAGTGCATTTTCGGCGCAGCATCGCAGGAATTCCTCGGCATGATCATCGACAGCACGGGTCTGTACCCCGCTCCGTCTAAGCTAGATGCAATCGCACGCATGCCTCGCCCACACACCGTGGAAGAGCTGCGCACGTTTTTGGGTCTTACCGGTTACTTGCGTCAGTTTGTACCCAACTACAGTTTGACTGCCGCTCCGCTCACCAACATCCTGCGCAACAAAGCCTTCGCTTCGAAACGTGCACGCAAGCTTCCTATCCCGTGGTCCGTAGCTGAGGAAGACGCCTTCCAGTCTTTACGAGAAACGTTGGCTTCCCCGAAGGTCCTTGCTTTCCCTGACCTTGAGCGTCCGTTCGAACTGCACACGGATGCTAGCACGCTGGGTGTAGGAGCTTCGCTTATGCAGACAATCGATGGTGTCACCAGAGCGGTGGCGTTCGCGAGCCACCGGTTTTCACAAACCGATGCTAGACGCGGGCCCACGGAACGAGAATGCATGGGGGTCCTCTGGGCGGTAGACCACTTCCGGCCGTACCTAGCGGGTAGACGGTTCAAACTGGTCACAGACTGTTCTGCCCTCACATGGTTGTTCCGGAGCCGTGAACTCTGCCCCAAGCTGCACAGGTGGGCGCTGCGGCTGATGGAGTACGACATGGAACTGGAATGGAAGGCGGGGGTAGAGCACGTAGTACCCGATGCTTTGTCCCGGTTGCCTGTGGCGAACCCGGTAGAGGTCGACGTCGACGATTCGTTTCCGGATGATCTGTCGTGTGCTGCAGGCGCTGCGGTAGAGATTTTAGGACCGGAGTTGAAGGGTGTAAGGCTGGCTGAGTTGGACCCTGTGCAGGTAGACCAGGTAGGCGATGCTGACTCCCAACCCTCTCACCCCACTCCGGAGGGGGCCGACTTCCATCTGTCCGCCCTTCGAGCGTTGCCTTTCGCTGCATGTGCGGCTGTAGACCATGAGCCTGATGCCCCCCGCCGCAGCGGCCGGACCCGTACCCCTTCGGTACGATTACGACCGATCGGCGACGCGCAGCTGCCCCCGACAAGTGTGCTGGAGGCCCTCCCGGACAGAGAGGCAATCGGCCCCTCCGCGGTGCAAGCCTCAACTCCAGCGCCGTCGCCATCGACACTGCCGCCGTCCCCCGTTAATCCTGGCCACGACGACATCGGTGAGGTGCTGGCGGCACGGGGGGAGGTTACGACGTCGTCGTCGAGCCACGCGTTGGATGGAGCATCAGCCATCGATCTGACAGCACGAGTGCTCACAAGGCCGTCCGAGCTAGCGCATCGGCAACGAGTCGACACCCATCTGAGTCAGGTTCGCAAGGTTCTGAGCAATGTAGCTGACTCTAGCCAGGGGGGAAGTGAGCGTGACAGGTATAGCCTAGGCACGGATGATGTGATTCGGTACAACGATGGTAAGGGAAGAAAACTGCCTGCTATTCCAGTTGCCATGGTAGCCGACATCATCGCGTTGGTACACACGCTACATGGTCATGCAGGAGTAGGAGCAACGCTGTCCCTTCTGCGCGATCATTTCCACTGGCCCACGATGACGAACGACACTCGACACTATGTGTTGTCGTGCGCCTGTCGTAGACGCAAGAGACCGCCCAGCAGACGAGTAGCCATGATGCCAGGTAGACCGCTTGAGCCGTGGGACGAGTTGCAAATGGACATCCTCAAGATCGACACACCATCGCAAACGGGCAACAACTACGTCTTGCTCGTGGTAGACCGCGCCTCAAAGTTTCCGTTCGGGTTCCCGCTCAAGACCAAACAAGCTGTGGGCGTAGCCAGAGTGGTGGTAGAGCTGTGCCTAACTTACGGAGTTCCAAAGACGGTACGCTGCGACGGAGGCCCGGAGTTTGGTGCAGAGGTGGTGAAGCACTTGTGCAGATGGCTGCGGGCAAGCATCGTGTTTGGTGCGGCTGATCACCCTCGAGGCCAAGGGGCGGTAGAGAGACTGGGGGGATGGCTACAGGAGCTGTTGGCTGAGCTGTGTAGATTTTGGCCTGACCGATGGGATGAGTACGTTTCGCCTGCAATGTGGATCAAACGCACCTTGCCAGACACCTCGCTCCCATCTAACATGACCCCCTTCGAGCTCCTGTTCGGCCGCAAGCCTCGTACCTCGCTGGATTCGTTAGTTCCTCTTACTGACGAGATGGATCAGGAACGGGGACTCGACAACTTCGTGGAGAGGCGCAAGCAAAATCTTCGTGAAGTACGACTCGCCCTCGAGAAACGGCAGGAGCTTCGAGTTGCTGCACGCGCGAAAGCCAACGCCTCTATAGACAGGTCGTCAGCTGGAGTGGGGGTCATGAAGGAGAGCCTGGTGCTCGTGCGCGAGTTCGAGAGTTGTCGACATCGCGACCACAGGGGAAGGAAGCTGCAACACGATCTCTACACAGGACCATGGAAAGTGACGGGGATAATCCAGCCTGGTCTCAGTGTAGAAGTCATGATGCATGGTAGAAAGAAGCGTAGCCGAAGGGTATCTACGGCCGATGTGAAACCGTTCCACCTCCGAGAACTTCCCTTGCGACACTCGTTAGCCGAAGAGTTCGCCCAGCATGCGTGGGGACCCGATTTCAAATTGCCTCCAGGAGCGAAAGAGAGTTTGGGTCTAGTCACTATTGCCGACTGTCGCAGAGTCCAACCGGCTTCTGGCATGCGAACTGTTTGGGAGTACAAAGGAAAGTCAGGGAATGGTGTAGTGTCGGACTGGCTGCCGGAAGAGACCATGCGACGCAGTTTCACGCCCCTTCAGTTGGATTGCTTCGTTGCGCTCTGGCATTTGTATTTTCCCCAGCTGGCAAACGCTTCTGCACCCGACTCAGTCAAGCCCCGTACCCCGTTGTCCCGCGCCCAAGCCTTGCACGTTTTCCCGATAGGTTTTACCTTCCAGAAGGAGTTAGCCGGAGGTATCCTACTTCAGGGTCAGGTGTATGATTACGTATCCCCCTACTGGCGCGTGCGCTACACTGACGGGAACTGGGAGGAGCTGTCCAGACGCGAACTGGAAAGACTTGCGAGATAGCCTAGGGGGGAGGGATTTCGAGCTAGTGTGATGGCTGGACGGGGGGGATGCGTGGCATTAGTGAGACCGTCTGCGGGTGATCATGGATGTCCGTACAAGGTTTGGTCGTATGTACGTACCATGGATGGTTTTTGACTATTGTTGATGTCTCTCTCTTGTCTCGTTTTTTAGACTGTGCATGTCCATTTGATTTCTGAGTACTGTTGACGAGAGTTTCTTTTGTTTCGGTTTTGATACATGTCCGTTTGATTTTTGAGTGCGTCACCCAGTTGAGGTCGAGTATAGCCTAACTGTTCAGAGGCCCTACTTGCCAGATGTCCTGATCTGAGCTGCCGTCGAAAGGTGTTCCTGTGTACGGTAGCACCCACGAGGGTTTATGTTGTGTGCTGGTCTGATTTGCGGTCGAAGGGTGGTCCTGTGCCCGGTAGCACCGAAGAGAAGTTTGTGCGGTTGTGCCGTGGCATTTGAATGGGTTTGGTGTTGTAGGTGCTTTGCGCAATGGGTTTTTTCCTGGGTGGCCAGGTTTTTCCCGCGCTGTAGGTGTTGAGAGCCGGACTGCAACTACAGTGAATTCACCAAGCGAGGGACGGTTTTTTGTTGGAGTATTTACGTCNTTTGCGCAATGGGTTTTTTCCTGGGTGGCCAGGTTTTTCCCGCGCTGTAGAAGTTGAGAGCCGGACTGCAACTACAGTGAATTCACCAAGCGAGGGACGGTTTTTTGTTAGAGTATTTTACGTCCGAGCGTCACTTGGTGTTTTCGGTTGTTAAGTCTAAATTCTAGGGCTCTCGGGATGGGGAGCGAAGGGTTTGTCCCGGAAGCCGGGTTTTCCTTCGCGCAAGTCGATGTCGGGCCGTGGTTCAACGCGCAGTGAGAAT